AGCACACACACCCTATAGCAAAAACCTCTCCAAAAAAAAAAAAAACAAAAAAAACCTCTCCAAAAAAAAAAAGAAAGAAACTACCAAACCCTTTTCCAAAGGGGTTGTCCTGTTTTCTGTTTCCACCAACAGTGTAGATTTCCAGTTGCTCCACTTGTTTGCTGATGCTTGGTGAGGAGAATCTTTTTTTTTTTTTTTTTTTTTTGTATGCTATAGGGCACATGCGCTCGCCAGAAAGACAGAAAGAGACATAGAGACAGAAAGTGAGAAATCACCCCCCAGCGGGGATGGCCACGCCATAATCGCTTCTCCTCCATTCTCCTTGGGATCTTGGGCACGTATGCACACGCGCCCGGCGTGAGTTTAAGTCACCAGGTCCGGGACTCAAACCGCGGTCGGCTACATGGGAGTTCAGCGACATAACCATTATGCTAACTGCTGGTCCTAGTGAAGAAAACCTTTTGAATTTTAATCATTCTAGTGTGTGTGTGGTGGTAGGTCATTGTGGTTTCAATTCGTATTTTCCTAATGACTAATGATGGTGAACACTTTTTCACGTGCATATTGGCCATTACATCTCTCTCTTTTTTCATTTGCTATAGGGCACATGTGCTTGCATGGGTGGGGGGCAGGGAGAAAAAGTGAGAAAGCACACCCCCACCCCAGGATGGTCACACCACAATCCCTTTTCCGGTCTCCTCTTGGGATTTTGGACATGCACGCACACATGCCTGGAGCGTTTTCCGAACAGCTGGGTCCGGAACTTAGCCCTGTGGGATGCAGCTGCCTTAACCACCAGGCCATCTGGCTGGCCCCACATTTTTTCTTCATTGTTCAAATCTCTTGGCCATTTAAAAATGGGGTCATTTGTCTAATTTTTAAAAAAGAATTATTTTATTTAACTTTATTTACATATTTTTATTTGACCAGAGAGGGACAGAGTGAGAGAGAGAGAGAAAGAGGGAAAGTGAGAAAGCAAATCACCAGGTCTGGGACTCAAACCGTGGTTGGCCACATGGGAGTCCAGTGTGCCCTTAACCACCATGCCATCTGTTGGCCCCTAATTTCTTTTTAGAAAGCTTCTCCTGGCTGCTGTGGAGAGGGTGGCTGTGCAGAGCAAAGGTGGAAGGAGACGGCGTGGGGAGGGGCTGTAGCTCCCACAGCAGCCAGCTGGCCTCAGGCTCGGCACTCAGCCTGGTTTCCGGGAAAGTCAGCTTGGGCCTGCTACAGCCATTGGCCTGCTGCCAGGAGAGATTGAGACAGCTTACAGGGCTGGAGTGGAGGCTGTCAGCTCAGCTTCCTGAAGTCTCTACTGTCTTGGGGCAGTGCCCAGTCAGCTGGGTAGCTTCCATCTCAGCCTCTCCCCAACCTGCAGCAGGGGAGCTGGGGACCCTTATCTGCCCATCTCTCCCAGAGGCCCGTTCAGGCCTGCATCCTGTGGTCAGCACCCGCACAGTCATGGCAGTGGCTGAAACACTGTTTAGGTTGGTAAAGAACCCTTTAACTCATGGCCACAGATGTCTGCCGCCAGCCCAGTCTGTTCCCTCCGGACACTTGGGCTTCCCCACATCTCAACAACTAAAAGGGGGCTCCAGGACTCTGACCCAGCGTGAGGGCCCTGTCTGTTCTGATCAGGTGGTGCCTGGTGTACTGGCTGTTAGACTGAATATCTTCTGGGGAGAGCCCAGGCCTGGCTGGAGCCTGGGGAATGAGCGCAGGGTCTGCTGGGAGAGGCAGTGGGAGGAAGGCCAGCGAGGAGGTACTAACTGCAGTGACAGCAACGCGATGTTAACGGTGAGCGGTGAGCGTGGTGTGAGCACATACAATGTGACAGACATTGTTCTAATGGACCTCACGATGTCCTCCCAGTAAACTGGGCTGTCACATCAGTGCTTTCCCACTCCCCTCCCTGCCCCCACAGGCTGCTCCCACTTGCAGCCAGAGGGAGCCTGGGAGCCCCTGAGTGCAGTCAGAGCCCTCTGGCCTCAGAGCACGTGGCTGGTCTCTAATGGCCTTGAGAGGCCTGGGGTGACCTGGAAGCCTGCAGGGTCTGTTCTCTCCCTGCTCACTCTAGCCCTCATAGGATGAGTTCTTTAGGGCCACGTCTTGGCCAGGCCTGGGATCACAGGGCAATGGCAGCTGCTAGCAGGCAGGTTTGCCTAAGCTGGGCCTGAGCCTTCTCCAGACTCCACCCAGCACCCCCACTGGCTGCTCAGTATCTGCCCCATGACCTGCATCCAATTTCCCCTTTTCTCTCTTGAGCCCAGGCCCAGGGAGCGGTGGGGTGTGACGTGGGGACGGGGGAGGGGGGCTTCCTGCAGCTGGCTCATCCCCCCAGCGCCCTAACCTCAGGTTCCTCCTTCCCCAGCCCCAGCTTAGCCTCTTGCTGGGCCCAGAAGTCCCTGTCTCATCCTGGGTGGCCTCTCTCAGTCCTTGCTTTCAGCCACTTCCTCATTCGGTAGGGCAGGGAGGGCAGCCCAGCCTTGCACGGGTTACACCTGCCTCAGCCTCAGCCCCCAGTCTCCTCTCTATGCTGTATCTGTGTCACTAATTCTTACCTGC